AACCAGCTTAAAGCAACCAGAATTTGTTGCTAAAATATAATCGCTTCTTCGGCCCTCGTCAATCTGCGCGCTCAAGCTCTTTCAATTTTTCCAATTTTTCCTAGTCAAAGGATTTTACGCACAGAGTTTGTTAGATGTTGGAACAAACTAAAGCCAAACAAAAAAGTACACATGCCGATTTCTCTTGAGATGGGCTCTGAAACTTAAAAATCGAAAGAGTAATGTTCCCGTTACGAAAAAGAGCCCAGGAGATTTGAAATGGCTTTTTTGCTTCAGCTGCGAGAATAATCCCAAAGGCATTCCTAAAATCTGTGCCTGCTTCTAAAATAAAGCTTAAAATTTTCACACTGGTGCTCTTTCAAAACTCGAGCTGTGTCGGCGGTAACAATTTTCCTAAAGTGTAATGTTTCATCAAAAAGAATAAAAAATCGTAAAAAATTTTACTGTTTTTTTACTGTTGCACATACGTCGAGTAGGCCGTGAATACTAGCTGGAAATTTGTAGCCCGCGGCGACGGACCTGACACTGCTTCTTCAGGCGTTTGGGTGAATTCTAGCTACAACACTAACACGGGATGCCCACACTGATACTCAAGCGGTTTTGGTACTTTTGGTTCGGAATATCATTGCATCCTCACGAAAAAGTAAAATTTCCGATGGGCAGGAAATATTGCTTGCCTTGCCGACAACCGGTGGACAGTGTGTATGAGTGAGTGGTGCCCATAGAAAAACAAGCGACTACTCGGGCGATTCTCGAAGAGATGATACACATACATTAGCACGGCCAATGAATACTGAGTGGAGGCATGCAGCTCAGGACCCTCGTAACATCACTAACAGTGATTGCCCCTTCTGATAGCCAGAGCGGCCTTGGTCTTGGTATATTTTAATTTAGATCAGATAAATTTTCTTTTGAAAACCTACTCGTTGTACAGCTTTATAATTTCGTTTAAACCTCATAAACCATTTTTCATTTTAAAATCTGCTCGTTAGACAACTTTATAACCCTGTTTAGACCGCATAAACAGTAATTTCCAATTTTTTCGCGTTCACAAATGCTCGTTTTCACCCATAGAAATATCCACTGACTTGTTATTCACATTTTTCATCAACACTTCTGGTGCTGTGATAGGTGAAGCCTGCTTATAATTTTTAGCATTTCATGCCAGTCTCCATGCTTTGTTGCTGAAACAAACGAAGCTACCAAAAAAGTCCCCTTTCTTACGATTGTGCTTACGTCAGAATTGTTATAACGCAGATGCAGCTCCAATCACAGCCTTGCTAATTCCAAATGTACTGACTGTTTGCCTGTGGTACTTACGAAGCAAAATCATGCAAAAAAGGATGTTGGTTTATCAAAGTATGGAGCAACTGAATATCGTAGTGCATATGCTGACATGGACGCCGTATACTGACCACTAGCAAATGTCTCGTAAACTAACATTTCTACAATTCGCTGATTTGTTTTGAAGTCACAGGCAAAACAAATCAGTCAGCGGCACCATCACAGCAAATTGATATGGGTTGATAACGGCGTATCCAGACAAAACCTCGCTATCTTTTTCTTTTTTTTGTAAAACAGTTTAAAGAAGTCTGGGGAAGTTGGAAAAAGGGGAATTTTGGCCTTGCAAATTAGTTACATGAATGTTCATCGCAAGGCAAGTAGGAAACTGTTCTGATGATTTTCACCCAAATTCACATGCAGGGTTCGGTATATGTTCACAGCTAAGGGATGAGCACAGACTGCATCCTAACATGCCTTCATGCACATGACACTTAGTTTAATCCCTTTTATTCTGCTATTTCAGAATAGACATAATAGCTTTTTTGAAAAATTCACGAGCACTTGTCACTTTTAAAATTGGCGTTGGTATGCTTGTAGCTTCACTTCATTAGCCAAAAATTTGCGGAACAAAGAGCTTTTGTCTGCTCACTAAATATAGTATCATTTAGTTCAAAAAGCTTTTTCTAAACAGGAAATTTGGCGTAAAATCTCAGAGGTGAAAAATTTAGTTTTATGAAATTTTAGAGTTTCCAAGTCTCAGCTGCTGTGAAATAATTTTTTTCGTACTTTATTTTTCTTTGACTTCGAATTTTATTTCCTGCAATAGGAGAAGTTTCTTCCAAACATCAAATCGTTATAAAAATCTTGAAAATGGAAATTTTAATTTTATTACACTTTTTTATTTTGTGTTTCCTGCAAAATGCCCGGCAATTTGTGATTTATAAAAATTTTTCTTTGCTTTAAGCAAAATTCTTTTTTATCACTTATATGTTATATGCGTTATTGGCATAGGCGGATCCAGAACGGACTCTTGGAAGCGGGGGGAGGAGGAGGAGGAGGAGGAGCGACTGGGTAGAGAGAGCGGAGACCTTGGGGATTAGGAGGGGGCGATTGGGGGTGAGGGGTAGAGTCCCCTTCTACTCTAGAATAATGTAAGAGCTGGGAGTAGAGTTGCAACAGTTTACTTAGAGTTATTCCAGGCTTTAGTTTTAGCTTTAGATCCGGGCTTTTGCAGCACTGCTGCTTGTACAGCTAGGGACAGCGAGGGAGCGGAGGGGGAGAGTGGGAAGACACTTAGCCTTCTCCCCTTGGCCCGTCTATGGTTGTTGGTGCCCATTAAAGTTCGAGAAAGTTCCGAATTTTTGTGCTGGCAAAGAGTCGCTGCAAACTGTTAAAGTCAATAAGCGAGTAACTGGTTTCGACATTCATTGTACCCCCTCCCCACCTCGTTCTGCTCCTTCCCTCCTGCCTACCAAACATTTTTTATTTCTTTGATTGAGTTATAGAAATTCTGTGGAAAATTTGAGTTCACTGCTTTGAGTTATTTGTCTTTTTCTCGAGACCATCTTTTGCAAGTACCATTGCGTTTTCAGTACTTTTTGCACTTTGTAACAAAATGTCGCTTAGTCAACTGTGCCATTTTCCTGTTTTTTTTGTGCTGCGCAACTTTTACCACAGATTTTTGATCTTGCTCAAGACTGTCAGCTGCAAAACTAAAATGCTAATTGGTACGCAGACTCTATCCATCACCTAGATGAAATTTTTCCCGCACTCAGCAATTGATTATAAATCTCCGTTTCTCTAGTCTGCCTTTCAAGTTTTGCATGCGACATCAATATTTTTCGTCTAATTCTGGCACAGTGCGTCCAAACATTCTTATGATTCCGGTTTGCGCTAATATTTACCAGCTTATCTCATAAAATAAAATTTTTTAGAAGCAATGTAGAATCGTTCAGGAAATCCGGGCATATCCATTTTTAACTCAGATGACGTAATAGATGATTTCCTCGAAGCATTTGCTTTATCAACATTTGCTCTATCAAAACACAAAAATTTCATTTGCTCCATAAAATTTCATTTACTTTTTCATTTGCTCTATCTCAACACAAAAATTTGTTTTAGTGATTTGGTTTCTTCCCAATAAAAACTACCACTAGTAATGTTTGTTACTTACGTTAGTTTTCGGGGTTTACAAACGGGTGCTGAGTACTGGTTGAAGATATACAGCCAAAGACCAAAGAGTTTAAAATAGCTGATTTCAGTGTTTAAGAGCATCCCAGTAATATCACTAACATCGGATACCCAAATTGATTTTCCGGACAAGTTCAAAATGCTTGATACTGCTAGTAGTTGACCACAAACTCGATCGCAACCAAAACTGACGATTCTTTGCTTAAATGAAGCAAAAATTCATTCCACCCCTTTTTTCACCATAATTTAATTATTTCAGCGAAGTGATGTACTGTTTCCGCGTGTTTGCAACAACCCATCCTGATTTTGTGCCATGAGTTAATGCGGCATTTTTCCAGTTTTTTGCGCGTTTTCTCTGAAATTTTCATTTCACCTCCATGATTTTTGCCCTTTTGAATCAAAGACCTGTTGATGAAACGCTGTTGTCATGCGTCACTTTAGTAAGATGATTTACTTCGCTAATATTTCGTATAATTTCAGATCACTACAGAAATGCTTTCGTCTACGCTTTT